GTGCCGAGCTGATGGCTCTATGAACCCAAGAGCTCAACATTGGTTTTGTTCAGTCGTCTCCTAAGATACTCGTATCTGCCACCGATCTATCATGTTGGAATCTGTCGTGGTGAACGGCAGCTGGCCATACCAGATCGTCGAGATCCTCTTCGAGCTCGTGGTTTACTTGCTTTGTCCGCGGGGGGATCTAGCAGATGCATACGAGCTTGGTGGTAAACTTGCACGTGGAACTGGGATCTGTCCACCTAAAGGAGGTAAAGAGATCGCGAGTAGGTGGAAGCATACTATCCTCGCCCTTTCGGGGTTATGTGCGGTGCTTCCTGCAAAGGCTGAGGTTCCCAACCATCTAGCATTTTGCACTTCGCATCATGGAGGAGGTGGAGGTGGCGATGGAGCACGTTGGTGGAATCCCCTCTGTGGTCTATTAAGAGTAGGGCCATTCCATGCCCTAGGTACCGACGTTTTTGCAACATTGATTTGAGGTTTGTAGTGCTCAGAGGCGTAAATACAGGGTATGCTTCCATGATGGGGGTAAATACCGAGTAACCAGCGGTCCTCGATGATACATGGACAGTGGAGAAGTCCAGGGCGGTCCGAAGAGGTGGGCTACGTGCCGTAGATTGTGACCTGTAACACCATGCCTCGATCTAGTCAGCTCTGAGATTTGTGAAGCAAAATCAGTTCGATGTCGATCCATACTTGCAGCGATACTGCGAGTGAAGCTTTCCTGCCTCCTAGTAATATCCACCAAGGAATTTAGGATGCTCCGAATATGTGCTGTGTTTGTTTGAACATGTGGGGTCGGATCTGTCACGGTGTTGAATCTGATAGATTCAGGTTGCAACGTAATTGGGACACCTGTTCGCGGTGGAGGTAATGGTCCACCTCCTCTTGTATCGAGAATAGGTGAGGGAGTCGAGCCTGCTCTCGAGATAGTTTGTCTTACCCAAACCTTGTAGTTTGAGCGATCTGTTTCATCCGGGCTGAAATCATGCAGGCTCGTTTCTGAGGTCGTGCCTGAGAACGGGATTTGCCGATCTGGCCAAGCAGGAACGTTTGGGATCGGGATTGGAGGACTAGGCCTCGCCGATCAAGGGATATCATTGTTAGCGATCCAGTTCTCGGTGCATCAGGACGAACTGTGACCCTTGTGTCTGAATATTCTGACTCAGCGTGAACTGGGTTCAGAGGCGTCAGTCCTGGGTTCATGCTCTGGATCTGAACCTGTTGGTCATTTGCGGAGCCACACTGGAGCCCAACACTGTGACAGTGGGTTTCCCATTAACCGGTAGAGATGGAGCCTCAGCTTCCGGCTGAACCGTCGTGCTAGAGATATGAACGATAGGTACAGATCTCGGCGAGTTTTTTAGGGTTTGATCTCTTTCATCTTTCGAAAATCTGATATGAGATTTTGGTACCCTCCTTGTACCAAATTGTAGATCCGAAAATCCACAACCAAGAATTTGATATTAACGAAAGGAAATTAAGGCCTAGATATTCGTATGAATCTTAGATAAATAAAGATTGAGAATAACAAGATGAATTTGTATTAATATGATCAAAGAATCAAGATTAATTAATACAAATGATTTATGAGATGGAAAAATAAGAAGAACATAGCGCAACTCGCAGTATTTAGTTTTAGGTGATATTCTAGGGTAAAAGTGAATGTCCTTCTCTCTTTATATGGGCGGTCAATCAAGTTCAACCGCTCCTATATTCGCGTAGCACATTCTCCTCACAATCCCGGATTTTCAGCACGCGCTCCGAGATCTCTGGCTTGACTAATTCAAGCTGTTATCCGCGAACTCTTCTTCAGCGTGCAGATGGCAAGTAATTTCGTTAACTGTTTCATTTACCCCAATCACATGGTTCATCGACTGAGCCTATAGCTGGGCATATTGGGTTTTATGGTATTGGACCAATACCTTACTTTACTAATTTTATAGGTCTTACCTGAACAAAATGAATGGATCTAAATAATAAATACATGTAGTTACGTATAACTTATAACTTACGTAATCTGCGTGTGAATTATAAATCTCATAAAATTTTGCCAAAAAATAAAATACAAATTAAGAAAAACTTAAACCTCAAACCTTTTCTAGTTTTTTGGGAATTTCTTTATTACTTTTTTGAAATACATTTTTCATTATTTCTCTTTTCCA